ACTTACTTTGGCCCATGTACCATATAATTTTTTCAATGTATTATTATAGCGATTTTTCACTTACGGTCTCATTTCTTTATGGTGCTTCTGTGTACATCACCGCTTCAGGAAAGCATTTCCGACCCCACATTGCTATATGATTTCGAGTCATCAGGATGCCCTCTACCCATCTTAGAAGTTCTGAAACGCTTAACTGAGACACCCTGTATATAAATGATTTAAAAGTACATATGCAACGCCACTTTGATTCAGCTCTATATCGGCGAGGCTTTTAATGTTGGTAAAATTATGAAAAATTCTGAAAGCTTAGGTTTTTAAATGTCTACCACTCTATAAAATATTTTGCAAAAATGTAGTAGTTGACAGGCATGCTCTCGTCTACAGTACACAGAAGGCAAATTTTTAAGATATATGACTGGTGCCCCCAGTGGCGTACGCAAGGGAGGGGTTTAGGGGTTTAAACACCCCCTTTGAGCTCAGACAAAATGGCAAAAATAAAAATTTTAGTAGAAATTATGCGAGCTATTATTTTTTAAGACTATATATTTTTATCTGCCTCATGCCTACTTTTTTTTCTCACGGTATTTCTCAGAATACTGAAAAAACATTTACTATAATAGGGTTATACTTTTGAAACCAAATTCACGTGATAGTGTTGCGGACTGGTTCCTTTCTGTCCTACCAGTTTAGTTTTCGAGACTGGCTGTCATTCGTGAGGACTTTACGCGATGATGAGACAATTCGAGAATTTTGGAGATGCGGTGAAAAATTGTATAAAAGGGGGAACGGAGTACAGCGGAGTTAATTAGTCAGACTAAGACTTATCTCTGCTACTTGTCTTTCGGAGCTTGCCGCTAAATCTGTTTTGATTTATCTCAACAAAAAATTCATTCAATCGCCGAACCCGTCGTCGCCACTATTTCGACTAGTGAAGAAATCAGTAACAATACCAGTGGAGATACGGTGCTCGTTGAAGTTATTCAATCCAGTTCGAAACTTTGAGATCGTAGCATAGCGGATATTTCTGTACCAATCCATATATATATTTGCTGTTCTTGGATCTTTAGGATGTCAAAACGCAAGAATTTAACAATTTTTAATTATTTTGCGAAAAAACCGCAACCTGAAATTAGTGCGGTGACAGCATCTAGTACCAATGTAAGTTTTTCTGTTGTACAGAAATGTGATACTTCCGTTGAAGAAAACGTTTCTAGCATAACAAAATCTGATGAATGTGAAAGTGGCCCTCAAAGTGTTACTTCCCACCCATATGACATTGGACTTTTTTAGAAGATATTACATTATGTTCTTAAACTTAAAAAATCAAATCAAAATTTAACTAAGCAATGTTGTCTAAATAAAAAGTCAAAATTGTCTAGCTGTCTAAATTAGGGAAATAATAGTGCTTTATTACAGACTCGAATTTCTTTTAGTAGTTTCAGAAAATTATGAACACCCCCCTTGAAAAAATTCTGCGTACGCCACTGGGTGCCCCAAGAGCAATCAGCAACAGAGTGCTAAGGAATGATCTAGACATAGAAAAAATTTACGGCTTCATTGCCAAACTCAACAGTAAATTCTATAGCGACGCTAGAAACTGTACGGCCTCGAATTTCAATAATTTGCTAGACATCAGCTTAATAGACGACAACATTAAATATAGCCCAGTAACCGCATTCCTCATGTCAGATTGTATCATATCAAAATATTACAAATGATAATATCACTGTCTTTTTTTTTCTTTTCTTTTTTAACCAGTATACATTTATTCCCTTCATGACTTTTTAGCACAGAACAAACAACCACCCCATAGACTGCTGAACTCAAATTGCCTTTTACTTTAACTTTTTATACTATTTCATGATGTATGGGATATGGGCCTTCTGCGCTGCCCGGGTCCCAATTTTTTATGAATAAATAAAATAAAGCACAGAACAAACCAGTATAAGATGAATCGGTTGGTGGCTCTACGAGGTACCCTACATATCCAGCATCTCGTCTACAGTATTTTTTCTAGCTCTGTTGTTCACGTTTATTTTTTCTATTTTACGGAAGCAACTCAGCATTTTTTTTCTCCAGTTTTTATATTTCAAATGACTTTTGATTCTTCTCATTCCCGCCAGAATATGGGCGCCTATTTTTGAAGGGCTTAAAACATGTTATCTGCTTTTTTTTCCTCTTTTTTTTTGTTGCTATTTATATATTTTTTGAAGCGGATGAAGATTTTATTCAGGTAATTTCTTTTTTCGTTTCAGTTTCGCATAATTATTTCTTTAAACCTTTCGCGCCGACTGTCACAAATACGTGCCAACATGAAACTCAATCAGGGTAATAAGATAGAACTGATAACCAAAGTAGAGTTCTTTAGCAGTTTATTTGTGGGTGGGGTTATAATTGTTTGATTTATTTAATTCACCATTGCTTCGAATACTTAAATAAACCAATTTTTTCTTTAAATAATTTATTATAATTACAATATACTGAAGAGGTAAATTTTACTTCTTTTGATAATAAAAAAAAACATCTTTTGTTATCACATCAAGATCTATCCCTTAAAAAGGTTTAAAATATAAAGAATTTCAAAATTTAGCATTCCCGAAAATTGTTCTTCTTTTAATAAGAAATGCAAAAATACAAAAGTCCACAGCTTAATAATTTATTTAAAATTAGTTCATTTTTCTCCTTAAATGCTGATTTCAGGATGTTTTCGGCGCAATTTCTTCCGCCTTATGTTGCAGTGACGTGTTTGGAGGAGCCACTTGTGGTACGGCAGACGAAAAGGCGAAACTTGTCTGTTCAGTGGGTAGATGCCACATCTGTTTCTTTGCCGACGAAAAGAAAAAGAAGAAAGCAGTACAGCATAAAATCATAACAATTCTGATCAAGAAAACATAACCCCACTGATGCATATTATTCTGAAAACACATAAGTAAAAGAATGATAAGGGAAAAGAATCTTGAAGTAGATATTAACACGTTGAATGCCACGCTAATTTTACATGGCTTGCCCGTCTGGCCAAACGGTAATTAACTACAAACTATATTTGCAAATATTAAACAGATCTTGCCAGTTGTTTCAGAGGTTAACTTAAGCATGACTTATCTGAAAAAATTGAGTAAATATACGCCTACGAATTCTTTAGAAATAATGGTGGATAAAAATTTACCAAATTGAATTTATTAAACCAAGAATCACAATTAATAAACCACTTCTTGAAAATATTTATTCGCTGTCCGCAGCAAGTTGGCATCCCTGTGTATATAAATAAAATTATTTTTGTGTGTTCTATCAACGCCTCCTATAACTGAAAACCTCCACACGGTTTTTTGCAGGTAGTCCGATCGGACCCCTATGAAGGTTAACCATTTGGTGAAAGACCCCTATGAAGGTTAACCATTTGGTGAAAGAACCATTTAATATGAAATCTATTAAAAATTAGAAAGTGGTAGGAAATATATGTCTAAAAATTATTTTAATTTATGAATATAATTGGTCTGTTTTATTCACTTGTCCACCACTACAGATTCAAGCTGCCTGCACCTCACATTCTACAAAACACTCTTACCCCACTCATCCCTTATTATTTCTACATCTTCGATGGAGAGGCAGATAGCCCTTCGGGCTAGGTACCTCGGACAACATAAATTATATCGGTATATCGGTACTTTTAAAATAGAATTTGGGTTCATGAGCAAAAGTGGTTCGCTTTTTAAATAATCTGCGCAGACTACTTATAAGAAACTGTGTGGAGGCTTTCTGATGTAGGAGGTGATGGTTCTATAGTGCATTAATTTCTTCAAACCAATTTAGTAACGATAATAATGTAAAAAAAATAAAAATTTACTCGAATTATGTGTTTCTAATAATCTTGGCTTCGCCGGTCATCGGTGACCCGCATGGCATTCAACGTGTTAAAGAAATTTTGCGTAGTGATACAGTTTCCTATAACTCTAAGGGTAGGGCGGCATATACTCAGGAGGTAAGCCGGAAGTAAGAGACATAAAAGAGGCTGATTCGCTTTACTTTTGCATTAGCATAACACTCAAAACTAGTCATAACTTACACTTTATTTATGTTGTGATTTTAATTTTCTTAAATTTATTTTAGGCTCACCACCTGTTAGAATTTATAAATTACAGAAAACTTTTATAACTTGTAAATTTAAAGACAAATCGCAGTAATAAAACTTTTTAAAATATTACGCCTGATCACGTATCGCCTGGTAAGCATAACATTTTTTTTTATTTCCAATGGCAGGCCAATTTGAAAGAACAAAAATGATAAAATAACAAGAAATACAAGGCAAAAAGAGATAAATAAAAAATACATAGTGACATGCTTAGCCCATACGGGCCGTAGCCTCCCAGTAGCGTCCACACACAGTAGTGGAGATGAGCGCAGGACAGACGGAAATGTGGGGCAAGTCCATGTCCTCCCCAAGGCAACAGAGCTTGCATTTAGGACAGTCAAAAATGTTTACGCTATAAAGGTGTTTGGCCAGATAGTCATGGCCCGTTACAAGTCTAAAGAGAGCGACTGCCTTAACCCTTTCGCGCCGACTGTCACAAATACGTGACAGCATAAAACCGCATCAATTAAGGCAGTGGC